TGTTTTTTCGCTTTGCGATATTCGCTAAGCGATTCGCTTAGCGAATATCGCATAACGAAGCGGGGGAGAACAGCTGATCGGCGGTTCCAAAATGGCCGCTGGAAGGTCCGCGCTGCATTTTCGCGCCCTGCCCTCGCTTAACGAGGGCACGAAAATGGCGGCGCTATGAAGAAACATCGCTGAACTGTGAGTTTTCAAGCCATAGGAACGCATTGAACAAAGTTCAATGCGTTTCTATGGCTTTTTTTATTCCGTTTAGCGATGTTTCGCTATAGCGAAGGTTAATCCGGAACGGATTAACCTCGCTATGCGAGGCACCACTGTATAGGCTTGAGCTATAGTTGGGCAGAGTTGCACAACAATCTCCTCTGTCATTGAGACATTTCTATAAGCATGGGGAGGAGGTGGATGAAAGGAAATGTAAAATATAGGTAGAGTGGTATAGGTCTTATCACTGGCTGATAATGGTCTATATTAATGCCACTGTTGACTGCTGTTCACCTTACATGGTTCAAATGTTATTCTGTTATAGTTTATTAAATATTTTATTACATTATTTGGTTCAGAATATATTTTCCCTGTGTTCCTCCTCTAAAAATTAAGTGCGTCTTAAGGTCCGGTGCGTCTTATGGAGCAAAAATACGGTATATTCCTGATAATTGGGTGGCCCTTTTGAATGGGATGGCATTCACTATAAAGGGGTGCAACAGGAAGGAGGACCTGCTGAAAACTGCAAATCCCTCTTGCACAGGCACAGAGACTTTCCATTCACATGGCTGTTGGTTCCTGTGAGATCCTGATTAAACATTCAGAGACATGTTGACACATGCTGCATCATTTTGCTTATGTATCTATAAAATAAAGCCCAAGGTAACTTACATAAACTGTGAAATAGGTTAGATGTAATAAAAGCAGGTGGCCAATTAGAGCAGACACTATAGCAGGCAGTGTTCAGCAGCCAAGGAAATTTCAAAGGAAGTGTTACACCACTTGCAAAAAGGGGGAAAGAAGGAATAACATCTCAAAGGAAATCATTATGCAACCTTAGGAACAATCATAGTAGAGTCCCTATTTCTCACAGCTGATTCTGTGTCCTTCAATGAAGGTAGAATTACTTCTTATGATAAGCATTTTTATCCCTGTCCTTCAGTCCTATTTCCATGTTGGGTTTCACAAAGGTACTTAACCTGGTAGGAGAACAAGGCCTGGTCTGCAGTGGAAGAAATCATGACCCCACATCACAAATTTGCATGTTTTCACTGCATTATTAAGACATTTTTACAAAGCAATTGTCATGACTTTTTTTCAACAAGTGTGAATGGTATTGAACAGAAAAGCGTGTTGTGTAGACCAGCCATTCTCAACGGGCTGGCCATATAGCCCCCTGGGGGAACCCTGGTACATTTGAAGGGGGGACAAATATTGGAAACAATTCTTTCCACACCACCTTATAAGATTCATTATACAATTGATACAATCCTGTTTCGACCTGTATTTCTTTCATATTGTGTTTAAATCCATAGCCAAAAAAAGGTTGAGCATGCTGCTAGACCTTGTTGACTACAGCCATTGTTTTTTCTCACATTCAGTCTGCCCTTTGCTGTGTAAAGCTTAACACCCCTTTTCTTGCTGGACACGTGGGCACAATATTGTGTGGTCATATTAGGTCATTTGTTGGTGTTTTGGATCATGGATGCAGAAGTACAGTACTGTATCCCACATTCATAAATCAGATGGGGGAAGGGGGTTTGAAGAATTATAAGTGTTGCATTGTATCTCCATTACAATTCTAAAGTGCTGTTGTGCTGTACTGTTTCTTTCGTGATTCTTTTAGATACTTCTAGTTATCCTTATGGCTTCTGGACTGAAAAGTGGGCTAAAATGATTAAATAATGAATATGCTTACCCATTAATAAACGATTAAGGAATAATTTAATACAAATTAATAAAGAAGTAAGTTGCATTATTTTAGACTATAGCAGGTGTTTTATGGCTAGACACTGAGTAAAGCCCATTGTCACAAATAATGAGTCTCGTACAACATTGCCATAATTTTATGTCCAAATTATTAGAACACTGTCCCTGCAGTCAAAAGGAAAGATATTTATATTTATATTTAAATTTCCCCAATTTCGAAAGCATTTTTTTTGTCTTGTTTTATTTTGTATAGCAAATGTTTGCCTATCTCATCCGAAAATTTATATTTATATATGAAATGTGAAGGGACCTTATTCGTAGAAACATTTTAATGTTTGACAGGAAATTTAGAGTTGTTACAGTTTTGCCCCTCCCATAGAAATCTCCATGTAATTGCTTTCATTGCAGCCCCTGGGGTATTGATCTATTATTATAATGCAGAATTAAGGAGAGTTCACCTACAGTTCAACTGCAAATGAAAAATCCCTGATGTGATTTCTGCCTTACTGTTCTCTAGGAAGTATCTACAGTCATTTGATTAATACTGTTCAGTGGCACATAGCCCAAGTTTTTAAAGCTGTGCTGTGTAAAGAGAACCTCCTTTAACAACAAAACAATAATGATGTTCCCTGAACCCATGATGTTACTACAGTGACTTTTTTTAAAAAACTGCTTTTGTCCTGTAATGGCCTATGTAAATGTATTTGTTCATGTCAGTCCTATTTCATTTCCACTGAAAGGCCAGCTCAGTGCTGTTTCATACAAATTAAATAAATAAATAAATTGTCATCTTCTCCAGTAAAGAGGTTCATGCTTTGAAGACTAGAAATAGACAGAAAATAACAATTCCATAATTATTGTTGTTGTAGGTATTTCGGGCTGTTTGGCCGTGTTCTGGAAGTTTTTCTTCCTAACGTTTTGCCAATCTCTGTGGCTGGCCTAAAAAACTTCCAGAACACGTCCAAACAGCCCGAAAAACCCACAACAATAATTATGGAATTGTTATTATGGAATTGTTATTGTTGTAAACCTACAACAACCATCGGATCCTGGCCGTGAAAGCCTTCGAGAATACAATTCCATAATTACTTTCCTGTCTATTCCATTGTTGAAAATACAGTAATTTTAATTGTCATTGTATGTATTCATATAGAACTTGGAACTAATTACTTCAAATTAAATATCTTTTCCCAGTAATGAAGATATTGTTATATTACATTATGATTATAACTTAATAGGAATGTCTTCAATTCTTTTGAGTTGCAATTGGAACTCTCCATTAAATTTATACAGGGGTATAGCTTCGCTAAATGATGTAGGAAAGATATCACATAGTTGAAGTATAGTAGGCACTTGGCAACAAGTAAAGTAAGCTTAGGAGTGTATATTTTGTACCACTACCATCTTTGTTACTTTTGAGAAAGAAGATACCTTATAATTATAATCATAGTGAATTATCAAGGATTGCATTAATTAATAATTTATCAATTATATGTACCTACGTATATGTTTATATGAGTACCAAACAAATACTGTGATGAATGGTGAAGGTAAGCTTATGAACTAATGCTTTATGTTACATACAGCTGGTAAAATAAGAGCCATCTGGTGGTCAGAAACAACACATTTATAATGCCAGGCAAATTTGAACAGAGATATATGTCAGAAATATATTTCTTCAATGGAGAAGTAATGATAAACAAAATGCACCTTGGTCTGCTCTAGAATCTGGTTTCCTGTTGTAATAGACTGTGTGTTAGATGTAGCTGTTATAATGGAATATAATAGATCTCTTCTTTTGCTTTCATGTGCTGCTAGAGTTAGGGATCATGTCAAAAATTATACTGCAAGTCAAACACATCTGGGAGCCTGGTGTCATTTATTTTATTTTTCTTGTGTAACTTCAAAATGTTGCTTCAGAAAGTTTTACAGTTACAGATTTACAAACTCATTCTAGGATTTTGTCAACAAGTTATTTCCCCTCTGTTAACAGATATTCATATGTGCAGGGTTTTGCTTTTGGAGTATATTAGATAGGGTATGGGTGTGTCTTTTATATTCCTGTTGTCAGATACTTCCTTACAGAACAGCAGTTAGAACTGGAAATAAAATATATGTATGTATATATTTTATGGAAATATATACTCCTTACAACATGAAAAACAAAGTCTTTGCAAATTATAGCTGTTACTTCAAATAGTGGTTCACTGATTTTTTTAAAAAAATATTTCAGAGGGCTGTTTTACTTGGATTCTTCTCAAGTACTGTTGTTGATGGACAAGCCAGCTGCACTATAGCAGATGTGTAGACTTTAAATCTTACTTGTTGTTCTATCAAAACCAATTTCGTGTGTGATAAATCTCAATTTAACTGTTAAAAGGATACTTTGAAGACTGCTACAAATTATATTCTAACTGCCTTTGTCATAGGACATCCAGGTCTCCGGGAAGCTATCTCTTTGTCCTGCATCACCAATGGGAGTGCAGGAAGTAGGAAAACCAGCCATAGTCCTTCTGTACCTTTAGCCAGGAAAGAAACTTTTGCCTCTGCTGCTAAAAGGTATACCTTATTCATGTTTCCTTCTGAAAATATTGAATATATATGAGAAAACAAATAAGAAATTATTCTGTGTGAAGGTTTATTTTTTGAAAAAATGAAAGTCTGGCTATAGCTTTTAACTGCCTACAAGGTTCTTCTCCTTTCGTCTAGGGCAGGGGTCTCCAAACGACGGCCCGCAGGCCACATCTGGCCCGCCTTGCTATCCTGGTGTGGGTGTGCGAGCGGGTGGGGGGGCGTGCCTGTTCATGTGGATGATCATGTTTGTTCAGCCCTCAAAAATGCTGAAAATATCCAATGTGGCCCTCACGGTCAAAAGTTTGGAGATCCCTGTTCTAGGGTTTTGTACCATATTGTTTGATTAAGTCTTGGTTATCAAAAACCCAAGAAAAAGAAAGTGGGGAGATAGTGGAGTGGGAGCTTTTGATGAATTGGCAAATAGCCTGGGGGGGGGGATCTGTTATACTATGGTCTAATAGTCAATTTTTCAAAACAAAATGGCCAGAACCCTTCTGTGAAATATTACAAGCATAAGAGAAACTGTGCATTTAGTTTCTCCAGTTTCTGACTGTCACAAACCCTGGCACAGAACTGAGTATTCAACTGAGTAAGTGACCTGGGTATGCCCGAACATGCAACAGACAACCAGAATTATCACGAGTTACATAATTTGCATTTTAAGCTGTGCAAACCATTTAAGATTGGTGCCAATGAATTGCATACGACTTTGAAGGGTTCACCATAAGACCTGGGTTCATTGAAAAGCTATGTACATTCCTCATTTTCTGTGATGGCTTTTTCCACATCAAAGTTGGTAATGGTCTTTGCTGTGTAACTTGAATGTTCTTGGTTTGTCCTGCATTTTGATATGCAGACAATAGATAAAAACAATGTGCAAAACATAGGTTTGTTTCATTTCATTCAAATCATGCAGAGCAAAATGTAATAAATGACACTACTAATAATGCTTTTAATATTGAATTAAGTTGAAAAGCAGAGGAGTACATTGTAAAAGCTATAGAGTTGTTCAGTTGATAGAAAAGACTTGTGTTTTTTTCTTTCCTTAAAAATACATATGGACTGAGAAATGTACATTACTGGAGGTGCTGAAACAGCTTTTGTTGAGATACAGAAGAGGCCAGCAATGTATACTAGTGCTTCGTTATATTTTTTCCCTTTTGGAGTCCTAACCAGACTCGATTGAATGACCTGGTTCCAAAATTTCACTTAAAATCAGAGATATCTTTTTTCCTATCTGCAACACAAAGATACTTGCTCCAGAAGATCAGGGAGATGATCTAGAGGAGCCTGGGGTGGCATAAGGGAGATACCTCTTCTCCCATGCTGCTTTGGAGGCAGGAGTTTTAGATTCAAGCCAACATGAGATGCAAGATCATAAGTTAGTAATTTACCATCTGGTATGTTATTTGTGAAGAATTCCCTGTCACCATAGAGATGGCTAATGATGATACCTAACTTCACTCTAGTTAAACTTGGAATATTGAGAGATTGTTAAATCAGAAAGTAACATTTTGAAGGGCAAGATTGGATTACAGAGGTAATAATAATTGAACATCAAGTTCTTCATCCTGTTTCCAGTCTCTTAGGGACAAAATAGGTATTTCACAGGGAATACTGTACAATGAATTTCATCTCCATCCCTGCACCAGATGTACCAGGAGTTTTCCAGAGCTATAGACTCTGCTTTGGCAACCGCAATATGGTAGTGGAGCCCATAAGTTATATTCTTTTTGTTTTGTCAGAGTATTCTCACAGTTCTTGCTCAGTTGCATTTAGCTCTCACCCTCCGCACTCCTAATTTTCATGGCTTTTCTCCACAGCTCCTAAGATTATTGCATCCTGTCTTACAGTATTTGAGGATGTTCTGTTTTTATGGCTAGCAATGTGCAGCTCTTTTGACTGATAGATCTCAATGAAGAAATAATTATTTTAATCAAATGCAAAGACAGAACAGATGGCATAAGCTCTGTTTTTCTTCTAATATAATAACTACATAGAACAGTGTTATTTCAGAGAGATATTAAGTTTTGAAAATAATTTGCCAATGCGTTTTAAATGCACAAGGGTGAGATGGCATTGGTGTAGAATAGAACAAAATTAAGGGGGGAAAGGAGGAGGAAGAAATGCAAAGGACGAAATATTGTGGCACCTTAAGGACTACCTTACTTGTTTCAGCGTGAGCTTCTATGGATTGAAATTTGCTTCCTCATTCACAAGGTTCTTGTTTCCTTCTGAGACAAATTTCTTAGCAGTGCTTAGCAGTGGCTGCCACAGGAGGTGGAGAAGAAGAAAGACCAAGTTTCACTTGTGTTGGATAATGGTGTACATCATTGGATCTTGTCCATCCCATTTAACATATAACTGTCATTACTCAGTGAGTTCTGATCAGACATGTAATGTCCCAGAAGGATGCTTAAAAGGCAGCCTTTGGTTCACTGTAAGGCAACTGACATGAGGACTGTCACAGTACCAGGAATTGAGTGCTGCTGATACAGCTGTCATAATAATAATCTCTGGAGTTATTTTCTTTAGTGGTATGACTTTTCCTACAGTTTGTTTTTCTGAACTATATTGCCTTGTCAGAGATCCTGGAAAAAGCTTGAAAGTTAACTGCAGTATTGACGTTTCAAGAAATGTGAGCTAAACATCTTTTATAAATTATGTATGAGAAATGGGGATGGGGTGGTGTTAAAGAAGTGAAGCAATAGCTTTTCTTTATTTGTACAGTGACTGAATAGACATCTCTTTAGAGGTAAAATAAGTATAACTTTATATTTTAATTTTTAAAAACTTCATTAAACATTGAGGAGATTTCTCTACTGCAACTATTTTGGTAGAAAAAGAAATTGTATTATTAATAACACATGTGACATGTAACCTTTGCTAGGAGCTTGCCTGGTGGACACACAGTCCTTATTTTTTAAACTGTGACATGGAAGGAGCCTCCCCAAAGAGTGTGAATATATTTGGGTCGCACATTCTGTTGGCTGATCCTTCCACTCCAGAAGCCCCTTTGTAAGGTGACTTGCTGTACAAACCGTGATATTTTTCATTGGGAAAACTTGTAGAGCTTCTATCCATGTCATTTAGTAGGTAAAGGAAAGTTCTTAAAACAAGGTCTGGGTTAAGAAAATTGTCCAAATATTTAACTTCTTTGATTGTATTTTTCCTCCTATAGATCAATGATTTAATTACTTCTCTCTCTCTCTCTTTCTGTATGCATTGAAAAATAATTATATACACATCTTTCTTATACTTTGTTTTACAGCGGTACAGAAAAAAAGAAAGAAAAACTTCAAGGACAGACAGAGAAAAAAGAGGAGTCTCATTCTAATGATCAAAACCCACAAACTCAAGCTTCACCGTCACCTTCTCCCCAGCCCTCTGCACAGACTCACCCAACACACAGGCAGACCCCAGAAGTCAAAAGCTCTGCTCCAGGCAAAAGGTTTCCAAAATAGCCAAATACAGAGTTAGGGTCACAAAAATACTAACAGTATGCTTTCTTTCCCATTAAAAGCATGCTACTGTGTTGTTTTACCTCTTCTCAATAAGTGAACGTAATCGGCAGAAAGGTACCTTTCTGTTTCTTCAGTGGAATGGCAAGATTCAGGAGTCTTGCTGCTTATCCCATCTTTCAGTGGAGAGCAGCAGCCCTCTACTTGGCCACTCCTATTAAGTCCCATCCTCTAGACGTTATTTATATAATTATTACAAGAATTTAAAACTATTTTTCTGCCTCCCAAAAGCAATGTACAGTTTAAAGCAATAGTACATATGCTACAACCACAGCAATATTTCAACAGAAATGGAATGTTGTTGAAAAGCAATCTGCAGACTATCTTAAGAACTCTCAGAGGCCTGACTGCTAAAAGCCAGTGAAATGGAACCAGCATGACCTCCTTGGGAGAATGTTCCATTGTCCAGAGAGTGGTACAGAAAAGACTCTGTCTTGATGTTCCTACTGGCCTAGCTGCTTTAGGATGTGGAATGTGCAGCAGTCCATCTGATGGAGATACACATATTGTAGCAGTGTGTAGCATGTGGGCAGAGTATAATCCCTGGAAGGTTGATGTGGCTGTCTAGAACAACCGTGTTTAACATGGTCTGTCTACTTTAGTTATACCCATTTTCAGCCTCCTTCACTCACTTCTCACACAGCACACCCAAATTATCTTATAAATGAGTTAAACTTAAATGAATAAATCCAATATTAGTCCCTACCCACTGAAATGCACGGGACATATATGCATAAGTAATATAAGTTGCACTGATTTCAGTGCTTCTCTCTAGTTATTCAATAGGGTATGAATTGCAACATTCAGATATGTTAAAAAAATAGTAAAGATTAGATTTCTTTCTAAATGGATTTCTCTGTAAGCATATCTAACTAATGTTTTGAGCTACCTAAGTGTGATGGCAAAATGTGGATACTAATAGCTTGCAACTCTGCTTGAAATCTTCACAATTCTTAATTGTGGCCATTTGCTTCCCAGGCTGCTTTATGGTGTGTTGGATATTTTGCATTGTCTTCTTTTTTACTCTTTGCTTGGCTGCATACTGGCCTCCTTTCACCATTTACCAATGAAATCAAATTCTTCACATTTTCATCAAATTCTAGGTGCAATTCAAGCAATGATATTAAATGTTGGGGCAGGGGTGAACAAATTTCCAAGACTGAGGGGGGCTGCATCACTCACCTTCTCTGCATCCCACCAGAGGCCACAGCCGTCTTCCACCTCTGTCATTTCTGCCACAACAAAAATAATTGTACTTGTGTTTCCGACATGCATTCCAGGCTTTGGTGCCATAAGATAAACATTATATCAGTTTAACATCAGAAACAATATATCTCTGTGTATATGTTTCTGGGGATTTTGAGACAGAGTGTATTTCTCTCATGTCCTGCTGGCATGCTTCACATAGACGATGGTTGTCTACTGTATGAACAGAATTTTCAACTGGGTAGACCTTTGATTGGATTGAGGCTGGCTGTTTTTATGTTCTCATGCTTTTTCCAAGGGTACCCCCAAACCTTTGTAAAGATACGTGTTAGGAGGAGGCAGTTCATGTTTCCCTGCCTTTTCTCACAAATTGTTTTTCCAACTCTGAAAGGACACCATTGGTTTAAACCCAAAAATAATTATGTGTGTTCTGAATGTGTAGTCCAGAGTAGTAATTTTACCAGCCTCTATTTGGAACATAAGAATTTTATTTATTCAACTGGTCTCTCCTGTTCACTTCTGCCATCTGTGTGACCAGAAAAGCTATCCTTGATGGTGTGAGAACCTTCAACAGCCTGTGATGGAGCCCTGCAGGCTGCAGTATGGAGGCAAAAGAAATGTAGGAGGTGGATTTTGTAAGCAAAACTTTGAACTGAAGCAGAGGTGTTTCATGAATCAAAGCTTATATACCTTCACCAATGACAACTTTGTGCCTCTTTTACTGCATGTGCTAACCTGTTGGGATATCATATTCAATTAACATTTTCCAGCACTTGGATTCTTAGCAAAGTAAATGGAACTGCTTCCTGCCTAGCAAAATCACAGTGTTTGATACTGCCCTAACGAATGCATGTTTAACAGTCTCTCCTAAACTTCCTCTGTTATCTTGCAGAATTTTACCTTAAAGTGGACTTTGGCCTCTTCTGTTTGCCATCTTGCTGTACAGAGGCATTTGTTCTTGGGTTTGGCATATTAATCTGTTACCACTTAAGCAAAAAGAAATGTGTGTTGTTTCACTTTTCCCCCTAATGTTTCACTTCATAACTTTTGTCACTCTAATTTTTTTCCTTCCTTAGCTCTTGAAAGTCTTGTGGAAATGCTGTTGATAAGCTTGCACATCTCATCTTCAAAAAAATGTTTTAACTGGATGCATTGCAGAGCAGTGTGCTGGGCAGCAGTAGGAATTATGGTTGTTGTGGGTTTTTCGGGCTGTTAGGCCGTGTTCTGAAGGTTGTTCTTCCTAATGTTTTGCCAGTCTCTGTGGCCGGCATCCTCAGAGGACAGCACTGGAATAGTAGGAACACAGTAGGAATTATGATATCAACTAACTTACTTACAATAGTCTTGCCTCTAAACCAAGTCAAAACAGAAGCAAAAGTTTTTAAGTGTTTGGAACTTCAGAGTTCTAAAGTGTGGCTGCTGTTAATGGAGGAGCTGTTTGGATCACTCGACAAAAGTCTTGTTTTGTTTAGTGCATCATGGTGAGAATTTTTGTATCCTATGCATTTAAAAAAAGTCTTCACATTAATAGAAGACTTGTGATTTTTTCATCTAGATTTTTACAGCTTTCTAAGCTCAGTAGCATCATCCTTGTACACCCCCTCCTTCTTTTAAATGGCTGAGTTTAGTCTTGAACAAAGAACTTCCAATTCACAGTGCTCATACATAGTCATTCACTACAAGAGCTTGCTTATCAGGCATTATTTCCCAAAGCAAATATTTTCAGCAGTATACTGTTCTGAGTTTTTTTTTAAAATGAGAACAAGGAACATTAGAACATTTAACTCAACTTTTCTATATAATAGGTGGGTACACTTGGAGCTTGGGGGAAGCTTGCCTTTATGGGAATGGATGGATGGATGGGTCAGTCGGTTGGTTGATTGGTTGATTTTATGGGAACCCTGAAATCCGCCAGCTGGAGTCAGGTACAAAGCAGTGATAGAAGCTGATGAATAAATTCTAAATAAGGAACAAGGTAACTCTGGACATATGTTAAACCCCAGAAGTTACAATCAGTACCAGACCCAAGATCATAGGTCATTTCATGCACAAATCTAGACAATTCAGAGTTGAAAATCCTTGCCAGTCTTTTTCAGACACCCAGAAATCTACCAGTAGATTCTGTTCTCCCTTGTACTCCTTACTGTCCTACAGGAATATTTCAAAAATTACACTGAAAGAATTTTTAGAAATTGTTGCCCTTTTGACTGACTGCAAAGATCCATTTAGAGCATTTTATCTAATCCTTCTTTTCTGGAATCTCTTGAATTTGCTTGAAGGATGGCCTGGTGTGGCATTTCTTTCGTCTGCTGCTGCTAGAGTTGTTGCATTTCCAGTTCAGATTCTTGCCTTACCACATTTACTGTAGTCCTGGTTTAATAAAAAAATGCAAAATGTGCTTGTTTTTTTCCTAGTGTTAAGAGATCATCAACAATTGATAAATCACACAGTGCATGGGAAAATTCAGAAGAGAGTCGCAATAAACTATTAAGGGCAGCATCTGCATCAAAACTGATATCCAAAAGTGGCAAGAATGCAGACAAGTAAGTATTTTAATTCAAATTTGATCCCTGAAAATGATCCATTGAGCTGGTATTATTGAAAACTCTTAAATTTCTTAAGAATGACATCTTAAAGATATGGAATCCACAGAGTAATCACTGTTACTAAATGGATTCCCTCTTCCTCCTGCAGCTTTGCATATACCTTTCCAAATTTGATCCAGAAAGGATTCTCCTGAGTGGAGGGGTCTTAGGGTTGGGAGAGAAAGGGTGAAGTCCCATTGTATGGGCGGAAATCCTCACAGTGAAGGATGTCACTCTATGGGTGGAAATCCTCACAGTGAAGGATGTCACTCTATGTAATTTTGTAGTCTGTTACCCTGGTTCAAAGCTCCATTAAAATATGGATACACTAGTGGTTTCTCTATACATTAAGCCTGCCTCTTCATTTATAATAGATGATGCAGTTCTCTTCAACAGTTCTAGCTTAGAGGTAGCTCTAGAAATTGGTGGAAATCTCTAGCAAAACAAAGAAACAAGTATATTCCTCAGAGCAGTCTTTCCCTTTAGTTAACTTGGTTTAAAATCTGTGCTGCTCTGCATTAGCATTGCTTAACTAAATGTTGTTTTCAGTTCAGATTTCTTATAAAACCAGTTTATTTTGTAAAATGGAAAAAAAGTATCTGGTATAAGATAAAAGATGTTAATGGAAAATCCAACTTGAAAGAAGTATATTACAATGGTGCCTCGCTAGACGAGGATAATTCATTCTGTTGAAATTGCTGTTAAGCAAAATCCTCGTCAAGCGAAACGAAAAAGCCCATTGAAATGCACTGAAAACTGGTTCAATGCATTCCAATGGGCTAAATACCTCAATGTCCAGCAAAGATCCTCCATAGGGTGGCCATTGCCGGTGGCTGTAAAGCGAGGAATCCGTCCTATCACACAGCGGGGAGCCATTTTAGAGCCGCTGATCAGCTGTTTTAAAATTGTCGTTTAGTGAAAAATCGGTTACCTGCTTTGGGAAAATCGTTAAGCGATTTTTCCCTATCAAAACATCATTTTGCGATCGCAAAAACTTCATCATCATGCAGTTTCATCTAACAAGGTAATCGTTAAGCGAGGCACCACTGTATTAGCTATCAACTTTTAAATAGGCTGTTTCCTTCTAGTTGATTTATCGTGCCAAAGTACTGATGACAGAATATTGTAGGATTTAGATTTTCATATTGACCTTTTGTAACTTCTTCTATTTTTCTCTCTAGACACAAAGATGTTATCGTCAGCCAAGGTAATTGGAAATATTTGAGTGTTACTTTTGTTAATGAAGATTGATAAATATATTTGTTTCATTATTTTATACTAAGAAAAGTCTGGATCAAACTGGAGGTTAGAAAAACCAGCAATCAGACTTGCAAATTAATCCTGTGCATATCTTCCAAAGCATGGTGAGTGCAAGGAAAAGCGATGACAAACTTATTTTACTAGTTGAAGTGGTACTTCTAAAAACATGCTAACATATTATCTAGTTACACCCTAAAATAAATCACAGTAGCTAGGCTTGCTTCACAGTTATCCAGTGAATTTGCTTCTGTTGACTTCAGATGTATTAAGGGGGAAAGAAGATAGAGGAATTGTATATGCAATAACCCCTTCTGTCTGTTGATGCCTATAGAAGCTGCCCCGCACATGCATTGTTCCATGAGTTTGGATCAGCCATATTATTTTAAGCAAATGGGACTGCTCACTTGCAGAAGCACTTTGAAAAACCACTCATATGGGACTGTAGATTAGAATGAATAGCTGATACCCCAAACACAGAGAAATCCATTTAGCTGCAGTATGAATATCCATGTATAGGATTAGATCCATAATGAAAATGCTGTATGGCATTCACATAAGTATAGAGTTTTGTTTGATGTGGTAGATCTGTTTCCTGTGTGCACATTTATTTGTTCAAAACTCTAGATTAGGCTTGGAATGTATGGTTTTGCAGGCACAGGAAACATCTGTATGTTGTTTTATTTCTGTCCTGTAACTATCAAAAATGTCAACTGGAAACAGAACAACCACGAGAAGGGCAAAAACTATGCTAGCTCTTTGATTTCTAGTTAAATGATATTTTTGATCTTTTATTTGCGTTATTGCTCTTCTGAAGCACTCAACCTATTCAATTGCAGTAAAAAGTATTTCCTGTATTTTTACATAAAAATCTAACTTCTTGGAACCAAGAAGTATCACACTGTATCATATCCTCCCAAATTTAAAACATAAATTGGTAGGCAATAAGTTTTCTATTTTCAGAAGGTGGACATGGTGTATCTTTCTAAGTTAAATATTACCTAGGCAGTATCTTCTAAGAGCATCCTGATCTACTAACAAAAAACTCCCTCTTGTTCTCAGTATCTCAGTATCATATCACATTTGATGGCATGAGAGAAACCAAAGTTTCTTCTTCGTGGCATGTTGAAAGAAATAGTTACAATTGAAAATATGTGTGCTTCCTATCAGCCAAGTAAATTACTCTTTGTTGAGAATCACTGGTTTGAGTCTGCAGATGTCATGGAAGCATGACGCTCAAAGCCCAAAGCATGTTACTTCTGATACATGGCATAGCTATTGCAATGTCTGAACTTTTCCTTTTCTTTACACACACTCAAAAACCCTATTATTTTTGCTGCTTATAGCTCTATAGGTCTAGACAGTTAACAGCTGGAGAAAATTTGCTTGTTCATTTCGTGCAAGTCCAGTACTTCCTTACAGCAGAGTTCTTCCTTACAATCTGCTGCACAATCATAGCTTGCAACAACTTAAAAATAAGCATTCATGGACTAAAATCAATTTTATTAGATGTGGTGATCTGTCATTCACATACAGATAGAAGCTGTGCTTGAATGAAACCATTATAAACATTGAGCTAACTCTAGTTTTAGTATTCATTTGTCACTCCAAGTGCACTTAAATTGTCTATATAGAGATCTTATATAAAGATTTTCTTGTACAGCCAGATATTCTGTATGGTGATAGTGCAGATTGTTCCAGAAGGCTGAGAGCAATGTCAGAGATGCCTTTCCTTCGCCTTTCCTTTTGCTTTGCCTGTGAACTACTTCATTTTTGTGACAGCCATAGTTCAGTGTACATGTATCCTTTCTTTTTAAAGGATGTGAAATCCTTGAAACTTAACATCAACAACATGTCATGACTCTTAGAATCAATGTTAACAGTTTAATAAATTTTCTACCATGTTTGGCTTAAGATCAAGGATGCAGCTGTGTGCCAGTATCTATTTTAAGGACTTTGCTTTGAACTTGGCTGCACGTGAAATAACACCCCTTGTGCTTTGCTGCCAGGAACAGCAGGTCTCTGCATGCAGCTGTCTTGAGTAAGAACGATGGTGAGGAGAAACAGGATTACCTGTTTTAAGCACCTGCCTCCAATGCATGAAATAATGAGCACCCCCTCCCCCTCCCACTGCATTCTCTAAAGCTAGTTTTTTCCTGAATTGTGTTGTACACTGTATATTTAGTTATACACACAGGGGACTTTTTAATACATAGGGAACTTTTTAACACTAATACAGAAACTGGAAGAAGAGTTTCTTCCTGCTCCTTGTACTTTTGCGCTCCGTGCAACTTATCAGCATATTTGAAACAACTCAAAGAAAGTTCTAAAACTCAAAAGACTTACTGTATGTTCTAGTTCATCTCTTTCTATCTTTAGATCTCTTTAAAGAAATTAACAAGTAAATAAGCTAGTGAACCACTCATCGTTCCCAGCATGTAGCACACCTGGCGAGCACCTGCTTGGGGAATCCTAAAAGGGGATCCTGTACCCAGAATCAATTGACTCAAATGTTTAGTATTGACAAGATGGCTCTCTGGTCCATAGAGACATGGGAAGCTGCCTTTCACTGATCCAGACCACTTGTCAAATCAGCTCCATAATTTACAATTCAGACTGGCAACAGCTCTCCAGGTTTTCAGAACAGGATCATTTCCTGGCTGTACCAGTAGATCTCCAATGTTCCCTAGCAGCCTCCCATTCAGGTACTAACAAGGCCCAAATCAGCTCAGCTTCTGAAGTCAGGTGAGATTGATATTGTCAGAGTGGGCATTGTGAACTAGATCTCTGTCTATTTTCTGCTGTGTTTTTTAATCCATTCTGTCCTGGAACAAGAAATGTTAGCAGTAAGATGGTACAGTATTTATTTTAAAACAAAACAAAAAATCTAATAGACAAAAGGGTGCTAACTCTTATTTCTGCTATTGCAAACTCCCTAGTTATCTAGAGAAAAACAAAATCTCCTTTTTTAGGGAAATTGAAGGTGGTCCAAACACGACTGTAAAAATGGAGAGACTGCTTGTCTCTGTGACAGTTTAGTTTGATTGCACAATAATGATCACTTTATAGAGTTTTCACTTTAAGTGAATGTATGGGCAGATACATGAGTGATGCATGTTTCTCACCAGTGGCGTGCACACATGATTCATTATAGTGGTGCCCCACATGACGATGACCCCGCTTGATGACGAAATTGCTTAATGATGAGCTTTTTTGTGAATGCTGTAGCGATCGCAAAACGATGCAGTTGGGTTTTTTTTGCAAACCGATTGTTTGCTAGACGATGATTAAAAACAGCTGATCAGCAGTTTGCAAAATGGCTCCCTGCTGTTTTCCGGACCTATTTTTGCTACACAGGCATCGCAAAATGGCCGCCCTATGGAGGATCTTCACTGGACGAGCAGGTATTTCCCCCATTGGAACGCATTGACCGGTTTTCAATGCATTCCAATGGTGGGTGTTTGTTTTTTGTTTTGCTTGACGATGATTTACAGCGATTTTGCTGGAACGCATTATCGTCTTCAAGCGGGGCACCACTGTATTCCCAAATATAACATGGTGAACATTTATACAGCTTGCAGTAGAAGCTGTACTAAACCACTGCAAGCAGACTGCCAAAAACTGTTTTCACTGAATCTGTTTTCACTGCTTGAAAATTTAAATCATCAGTTGAATGATCATGGTAAATTCCATGGTTTCTGCCATTGCACACAATACTAATGCTCCTTATCGGATCCATTTACGCTGTTGTAGTAAATAACAGTTGCATATTGTAACTGCCATTGCCAGAATCCCCAACCAGTATTGACAAGGCAATGCAAGCTTAGGGGTCTCAGAATTGTAGTACATAACTTCAGATCACAATGTTGTAACTATCTGAGGTTCAGGTTGTGTTGTTTTTAAAGCATAAGTGTTCTAGCTGTGTATAGTACTTAATGCAAAATTTAAGTGGGTGAAGATGTATTGATAAGACCACTAAAAGTGAAAATTTTGCCATCCTCCTCTTAAAGTTGTTTTCCCCTCTCTCCCCCACCCCGTACTTGTGTTATAATTTTGGAATGTTTTCTTAATAGACTTGGAAAAGATAGGGGGCAAGAGATTGTAGGAAGAATGCTTGAGGTTCTCACAAAATATCTCTTCTGGTTACATCCTAAAAGAACTCTGCTACACAGTTTGGGAGTGAACCAATGAAACTGAGTTTGATGTTCTGGGACATAGTAATTAAGCTAATATAAATTAAAAGTGAATTAAACTGCTGCTTTTCTTACCTTGCATTTATAGCAGTTTGGCCCTGGGCAACTATCTTTCATTTAACAAATACTTTTGTTGATGTGTTGCCATTATCTTTAACATTTTCAGAACAGATTTGCATTAATGCTATAATTGCCCAGTGGGCTTGTACACCCTAAAGAACATTTTGTAGTATGATTTCAAAACATAAAAATAAAAAAATAAAAAGCATCAGCAGTATCAACAACAGAAACAGCAGTAACATGTTCATCACCCTGTTAGGTTGTTTATATAAACCAAAATCCTGGTGCATGGTTCCTTAAATTGCACTAGAGTAGGTCCATTGAATCATTGGGGATTTGGTGAGTCGAATCCTCTGTAAGATCCTTTTCTTCGAATGGGCCTATCCTGTCAGATTCAGGATTCTGATGCCTGAACATCTCCCTAAGAGCCCAACATAATTTTATAGACCTCTAGGGAAAAATCAGAAGCCTGTGTTTGTCACAGCTGGCATTTATTCAAATTAGGAGTTAATTCTGGAATGAAACCAGACAATAATTGACAATCATATCAAAATTCATCTGAGTATCAAGGTACTGTATAAGTCTTCTAATGGTTGCACTAATTCCAGGCAACATCAGCTTCCTAGTTCTACAAGCTTTATTTCTACATTGCTTCTTTATTCCGTAAGCACAAAGTAAAAATTTGAAAGTGTCCAAAAGTCTTACAGGTATGAAAAACTGTAGGCACAAATGCTTAAAAAAATATGAAAACTAAAGTTTATTTAATTGTTTGTTTGTTAGTTTACAAGCCACTACTCTGGGTGTATTACAACATCACACCATAAAAATAAATACAATTCAATAATAAACATTGAATTAAAACCACACACAAAAGTGGACTCATTCCATACTGACTATAAATACAAGATAACAAATTATGACAGCAGAAGAAATACACAACACCTAAAAAATAATAATTGAAGGTAAGGCCATGGAAGAACTCTGTAAACAGCCATGTCTTCACTTCTTTTCTGAAACCAAGCAGGGAAGGAGCCACTCACAGCTCAGAGAATTCCACAACGAGGTGGCCACTACAGAGAAGGCCCAGTTCCTAGTTGTTGATTTCTGGACCCTCCCTTAGGGTGGCCACCCATAACATTTGGGATTGGGAGGAGCAGGTGGGATGGGAAGTCATTCTGAGGTAGAGGCACTCAAACAAGTAGTAAAGTCCTAAACCATTTGGTCCATAAATAAGTCTCTTTCCCAGAGGCCTGAAGATCTAGCGGCATCGAACTTCAAGGAAAAAAATAATTAGAATATCAAGTTTTAATTTGAATGTCAAGTTGCAGACAAATTCTTAAGTCATAAAAACATATTTCACTTATAAGCTTTTAGTTGCAAAAGTCACAGATAAGAACTTAAATCATTTTTGAACCCAAAAATAAAGGCACGTATAGCCTGAAAAGGCATATTGGAAAAAAACAAAACAAAAGACAGAATATGTCTATAAAACATTAGTTTTTAAGATTAAAAATATATTAAAGAAAATGACTTGGAATATCAAATGTTGTTGTACTTACTGTAACTTCAGAGCCTTGTAACTTAACTTCTAGCATGCTGCCAGTATGATGATAATGTCATTGTTATGACTAAATTTTTTTTTTTTGCAAAATTTGGAGTAACAAAAGCCTGTAGCAGAATCTTGGAAAGCAGGAATACTGTACAAACCATAAGATCTGCAAATGCCACCCCTGTGTTTGCAGATTGTAAACACATTCAACTGTCATGATGGTAGCTTGAGAGCTAGCTAATTGTGCTGCATTGACTAAAATAAACTATTTTTCAAGCCTCAATTTTAAAAGTACCTTCATTTTCAGGGCTACTTTTTCTATACTCCCTTGCTTTTATTAATAATCTACACATACAGAATTTCATATCTTGACAACTAACTGCTACTTACTGTGATAGATTCAGTCTTCAAAATGGAACATATTGTGGGTGCACAGTTCAACAGGGGCCACGGCACATTTGAAGGGGGGCACGGACTGGAAACAATTCTTCAGTGCCATTTTATAAGGTTCATTATGTGACTTATGCGTGCCGTCTTATAAGGTTTGTTATGAGACTTATGCAATCCTGATTCGACCTATATTTCCTTCATACTGAATTTATGGCCATGGCCAAAATAGGTTGAGAATGGCTGCTCTAAACAACATGTTCCACTTCTGTTTGCAAACTCATGCTTAGTGTACACTTTTGTTTTCACAGAAGGCGAATACATCAAAATGTTCATGCGAGGACGACCCATCACAATGTTTCTTCCTTCAGATGTGGACAAATATTATGAAATCAAGTCAGAGTTGCCTTCTGAGAAATTAAAACTGGAGTGGGTGTATCCTTATCACAGACCTCAAGAGGAATGTACTTTTTCCCCATTTCCAAAAGATGTAACTGTGCTAATCTGCTTCAGCATGTTGACAAATTTAAAC